AATTGGAACACATTTTACTATATTTCAGTGGGGATTGGCACCAGGACGAAACATTGCCAGGTGAAAACTGCCAGCTGTAAAACATGGAGGTCCTTTCTCTATTTAACAAACTAGTTTTAAGAATTTTCTGTGAGGGAAAAGACATTCATTTTCACTCCACCTCATCCTCAGAAAGGCTGGTATCTTTCTCAAAATGAATTTTTGAATTATTTTATTTTACCATTTTTTAATTAAAATATTTTGGTTTTCCTGAAACTGGAGGGAAATATATTGTTTTTCCCATGAGTGATGACCCCAAAAGTGCTGAACATTTTACCTGTTCTTAGGCAGATACCAAGAAGGAAAAATATAGGAAGGAAGAGAATAGGAAAATGTTGGCAACATTAAGCAGAGGTTTTATTTTTGGCACTGCTTATAATGGTTTTGGAATAGCGGGAACAAGCTGGGTCTATTTATCGCCTTTTCCAATATGCTTATTTTATTTTACTTTGGCAAATTAGTTTCTTCATCCATGTTATAACATGAACATCTGAATGGAGAAGAGATACTGCTGAAACATTATAGGCAACTAAAAAGGAACACAGTAGTAACTGTAGATTGTTTTTTCCTGTAGGGGGAAAAAAAAAAAAAAAAGACTTTTACTGATATTGTCCCTTTTTTTTCCAATTTGACCCATATTTTTTCTCAAAATGATTGGAAAGAACTTTGCCACTTTGTTAGGAGTTGAAAGCAAAATATGTAAAAATGTCATGCTGATGTATATCCCAGCTTAAGCAACTGCTGCTACAATTATTCCTGCCTCTGCCATTCCGCAAGGGGTGGCCTGCCTAATCACATTGTTCTGGCACAGCCTGGGCTTGAATGTCCCACTTTTCTCGAACATTATTGGTATATGCCAAAGAGCTCATGGAGGAACTTACAGAGGATCAGACTCTATCCTAACAACTTGTTGAGGGGTCTTTCCATGGAGACATACCTCCCCATTGACTTCTTCCCAGCAGTCACAGAATGATAAAATATATCAAGAGTGATAAACAATATGTGGGAAAAACCACTCCCGAAATGCACCAGGTGTTGTGACAAAGCCAGTGAAGTGCATTAAGTTTGTACAAAAAAAAATAATGATAATGTCATCTAGTTGTCATCATCAGAACATCTCCAGGAGAACTCATCTGACAAAGGAGTGTTAAATTAGGGCACATAACAATGGTACAAGAAGTTTGCCAGGAGATTTAACTGGAAAAATGCCTTTCCATTTTCAGGCACTCCCCACAATGGCAAGAGCAAAAAGAAATTGAATTCCCAAACTGAAAAAAATTAAAGGAAAATAGCATTTTATCTATGCTGGCAGTTGGTTAACATTGTTATGCCATGTAACTATGTGGTTTCTCTGTTCTGGTAACCCCTGCCTGGGCATGGCCTGCATAGAAATGTTTGTTGATCTCATGAGTCATTCCCAGGAGATGGCAAACATGACTAAAAGACTGGAAGACAACACACATGCTACAGGATGGGAATGAAAAGAACTGTAGGATGATTGAAAAGCTGTCAAGAGAATATCTGTGCTGTGACTATGCAGGGAAAAGGACGTGAAGGAAAGATGCAGAACATGATCACAGCAGCCTTTTGCTCCTGTTCCTCCATGGCTGCTGTTCCTGTGCAGGGAATCTTTTGGAATCCCTTGTAGAGCTGAGGGGAGACAGTTGTCTCACTGGTCCCAGCCCTAAGACAAGGAGACCAGTAATGGTCCCCCTGGCATATAACTACCATTCTCCATTACACACGTACCATAGCACTTTTGTAAGCTGTGCAATAGTTTGCTTGGCTCAGCGTTGACATTGTCTTGCTATTTATGAAATCAATAAAAGCTTTTTGTTTATTGAGCATATGTTCTTGGTTAAAAGGTTTATTGAAGCACACTCGTCCTTCATAAAACATGTGGATGTCTTTTGGGACGGACAGTCAAATTTTTAATGTCACAGGAGGTCACATTCAATTACAAATACCATAGCATATTAACAACACATGTACAGCAGCTTCAAAATTGATAGTGTGCCATTATTAAAGTCCATTAAAAGGGTTGGAGGTTTTTTGTGAATTGATCCCTGAAGATGCACTGGGTCGCATTTAATGCCCCTGCACCCTGCTTTTGAAGATAAAGGCTTGCCCAACTGATGGAGGCAGTGAGCAGTCACCTCTCCTTTCCTTCTGTACTCTGCTGGGAAGAGCTTTCTGCTATTCTGCCACCCACCGAGTAGGCATTTGCCTTTAGAAACTTCTAAAACACAATATGCATTGGTAAGACAAGGCAGAAGTTTCTCAAATGCTTCAAGCCATGCCCTGACATGTTTCCATTTTTCTTTCCCTCTTCCAGAATTCATGGTTATTTGCCAAACATTGGTACTGTAGCTCAGAAGATATTTTTCTCAGATTTCCACTCACTGAAAAACCTATCACCCTGAGAGCAGATAAAATCAGAGTTCTCAAAATAACAGTGCTATTAACGTGCCATTTAATGTCTACGATGTGGGGCTGTGGAAAGTGGGGGGATGCAATATTTATGCAACCAAATGAGTTTTGAAACATCTTGGCATCAGAGACTATTCCAGTACTTTGTAGACCATGTAGCTTAAAGCAATTCAGGGAGAGAAATATGGAAACATGTTTTCAGGTTCAGTTCCACATTTCAGCAAAAGAGAAGAAAATGAAGAGAAAAAACTAGTCGACTTAAGTCGATTATGCATTTTAAAACAATGTTTTAATTTAAAATCTGAAAAAAATAGTATTAATAATAAAGCTGGTTAAATCTACAAAGCATAATCTAATGTAGTGTTCAAATTTTACCAAAAAAAAATCTTATTTTGCCTAGTTTTTGTTTTGTTGAAAAAGAAAAGCCACTAATCACTAATTTGTACAGCTCTATCTGAGGCTGGCTGCTGTATGACATTTCCTGTTCTCTTTGTTTCAGTTTCAACACCTTTTTTGTACTTTCATACATTCCATCTTATTATCTCCATTTCATTCCTCACATTTCCTTTCAGATTAAAAAAATTATTTCATTTTACTTACTTTGAATCTAGCAGTGAAAGATGGTAAGAAGATATTTTATATAGAATCATAGAATGGTTCAGGTTGAAAGGGACCTTCATCGAGTTCCAACCCCCCTGCCATGGGCAGGGACACTTCCAACTAGATCAGGGGCTCAAAGCCCCATCCGGCCTGGCCTTGAACATCGCCAAGTTATACACACATTCAGCCATGGTGTCACTGAATTTCCATTTCTGTTAGTAGTACAATCAATTGAAACATCACCACATTCTTGCATTTTTCTTTATGGAAGAAAGAAAAGGAATGTTACAGCAGAAAGGTTCACATTTTAATAAGAGCTGGATGAAAACCAGGACTTCCATTGTGCCACAAAAAAAAAAAAAAAGTAATATAAATTGTTTTTATTTCAATTTTTAAATAAGTTTTCAGTTTAATTTCAGTTCCAGGACAGAATTTATTTGCTTTATGTATCAGTGGCTAGTAATAGTGAGTTTTACATTAGAAAAATAAACTTGGGTTTATTTTGGATTTGTGAAGACTTTTTTTCCTTACCTTAGCATTGTCAGTATGGACTGAATAGGGTTGCTTTTTGTATTTTTCCATGCTCTACACTCTTTTGAAAAGCATCAAGGAAATGGTCTTTTTTTGAAAGACTGGCATGTAAGGGTCACTGTTACGCGTCAAAAGTTAAATAAACTCCTCTTCCACATAGAAGTTTAATTTTTCTAATTACAGTAATTTCTGTGATGTGTACAGTTGGATGCTGAAATAAGGTTTGGGATGACTTCCTAGCTCTAGCAGATGTTAAATATAGGAAGATGTTACATCTTTTGTTTGTTTGTGAAATTACAGTGATTTTAAAAGTATTTTTTTTTGGATTCTTAGAAAACTCTGAGAAAATCTGACCTGAGTCCAGCAAGGATACCCGAGTGGGAGGAGGTGTCAGTGTACTTCAGCCTTGTATTCCTGTTGCCTGCAGCAGTGACTTGTGAAATGCATGTACCTACAACACGCTGGCTCCTGTGGAAACCCTGCTGACTCCCTCCCTGTGAACCTCTCGGTGGGTCGCCTTTCCGGGGCACTGGGGGGCCCCAGGGCAGCCCAGGCCTGAGGTGCGGGGACAGATAATGCAGTGACAACAGCCCTCCATGCTGGCCAATGAACACTGGGGACTCTTGGATCTGGGGCACCCTGGTAGCCAAGCTGTCCTAGACCCATGTGGCTATAATCCCCCTTTGATGAGAATATTTTAAAGTCGATATTCCATCCTATGTCAGAAGGAAACAGGCTCCCCCAACAAAAAAAAAAATTGCCTCTTTCTGGTTATCCCTATTAAAGATGTTGAAAGGAGCGTAGGACAGCAACACACTGTAGTCCCAATGGGTACCAGTGAGAAGCAGGTACCTAACCACTTGAGGTGCCTTGGAAAATCCCAGACAATTCCAAAATCAAGCAATACTCAGCTGTCATCACACATTCCAGCAAAGACTGTGTGTCTCTCATTTGCAGGCTCCAGACTGTCTGTAAAAATTTGTGTGTCTCTTTTTAGCATGGGAACAGTGCTTCAAGGAACAACGACACGTTCCTGGGGCATTACAAAGTAAAACCCTTGCTGCTCTGAATGCGCCCGTGGCCTGAAATGTGGGGACAACAGATCTGGCTGAAGATAGGTTCATACTCTGGGTGTCAAAATGTTTCTCAAGGACTGGGCTTCCTGTTCAAGCTTTTGCTGTATTCCCTGCTTTGCATTTTGCCACTCATTTTTTCCATTCTTCTGCTGCTAACTATTTTTCATTAAGATCTAGTCAGCAGGAACCTACCCTGCTTCAACTTTACAAGAATTTTGACAATTGAAATTCATCCCATCATGTGTTTCAAAGCAAATCTCAACAATTCTTCATCTATTTGCAGCTGTGAATTGCCGAGACATCTGACCCAAATTATGGCTTCAGCTGGCAAGAACAGGAATTCGCTCAATGCAAATCAATTGCTTCCAAAGATTTTGTCGTCCATGCAATATTCTTACATGCAAGTTTGAAGACCAGATTGGTAAGAACTCTTTGTTATCATTTATTACCAACTAAAGACAGTGATTTCCTGCACTATTTTCAAAACAGATGGAAAATTAATTTCCCTGAAATTTCAGTTTTTAATGGGAACGTATCAATTATGCTGCAAAATTTCAAAAGAATAATATTGGAATGACTTGAAATGAAAATGGGAGATTGCAGCCCAAATCTCACAATTTATTTTCAGCCCTCTCATTTCCCTTTCATTGTTACATTGCAATTTTTTTTATGTCAGAAGTGCTGTCATAAGGAAGTTTCTGTCTTTGCATACAATTTTCTCTTTCCAAATTTTTATTCTGGCTTTTGTTTATTCATTTAAATTTTGACTTTTCATCCTGAATTAGAATGAAAACAAGATTCAAAATGCAAGAATTTGTCTTGAGATTGAATTACTTTCACCAGCTCAGACTTTGATCACAGCTGAATCATTGCATCAGATTCCAAAGAACAGACTGCTGTTCATCTCCGTCAGATGTACTATCTTCATCTCAGGCTCTCTGAAGCTGGGTTAGTACCCATCTGCCATACTGAGCAACTTTTGGTGAGACCACATGTGCCTCCAGGCAGGTGGAGTGCAATTATAGCTCGTCACTGATTTCAGCACTAGGGCACCCTCTACCAGCTTTTTCTTAGAAACCCCATATTCCAGCTCTCCCAGGAACTGAAACTACTGGCACAGGTCACTCAGTGCCTCTTCTTGCCTAGTCTCATTCCTAAGAGATCCACCTATGCATGGGAACTTGCATCTTGCCACTTATTTCCTCCAGGATAACAGAGTAAGAAAAGATACAAGGCAGGTGCAACAAAGGATGCCTTAGACACTTTAATATCCTAAGAAATTATATATGAAAGTATCCTGAGCTGTAGTGTCCCCGCAGCAGGCCTCATCCCTGTATGTCTGAGGCAGCAAACACAGCAAGAGCTGTGACAGAGACCTTGCTGTACTGTAAAGCCCCACTTACATCTCCTGTGAATACACACAAGCTCACTGCAAAGTAAACACAGTTCTGCAGTGACTGTTCAGACCCTCAGGGTTTGACTGTGTCCTACATCTCTTTTTTTATTAGCATCTCAGTGTCTCGATATTTTGTCCTGGGTTTCCACAGAACAGTTCACATCTTGCTCAGAAGCTGTGCTTTGTGGCAGCAAACAACTCTTAACAACACCTTGTAAAGTCTTTTGAAAGCAATACTGTCAGATGCACTTCATTAGCTGCCCTGACAGCTGTAGCCTTAGCAATAGACTTGATCCATCTGCCATAAATACTAATGTGAACAGGGAAGGAGCTACTACAGTGTGCAGCCACAGTGAGACAGGGTTGCTGGGAGGCCACTATGGCCAAAGATGGAGTAATATGAACATCGACATTTCTTGCTCTTTGCTCCCTTCAAGTCAGGATATCATTTGAGGTTAGAGGAAACCAGGAAGTACAGGAAGGTTGGGATGCAGATCCCTAAACATAGGTGTCTACTGGTGTTTTACACATAGGCTTGTACAGGGCAAAGAGACATAGGGTTTTATATGTCTCTCTCCCTCTCTAATGTGCCTGCCTAATGTCCCATGTGGCTTTAATCCATCTGCACCCAACTCTAGCCACACGCCATCCCTGATGCTTTCACAGCATGAATCCTCCACCAGTGATAATGGCCTCCTTGTGCCAGATCAGGTGCTCATCAATACTCTCCCTGCCTCTGCAGGATCAGACCTTTCCACATCATGGGTTATCTGCCAAGGATCATCATTCAAATAACAAACTGGTTGTGGCTGGCACAACGAATGGTATTTGGTGACACCACTTGCATTTCTCTCTCCAACCCACCTCAGTGTTTCTGAGTGCCTACTTTGAAGCATGTAGTTATTCTCAAACCTATTTCAGAAAAAAAACCAGTTACACTAAGCAAGGATTTAAGAGCTATTAATTTACTTGTTGCTGCAATTATAAGGTTTAAAATTAATTTACTCAAGCAAATCCTTGTACCAACACGTCAGCATCATGTTTTAGCCAACAACTGGTGCCACGTCTTATCTAGATCTCCAAGGCAAATTTCCAGCATGTTATTTAGGAGTGAAGGAGTTGCTACATGGAAGAAGGTCCAGAGTCCCTTGGCCTGCAACAGCAGCTGGTGTTGGGTGCATAAGAGAAACCTTGCAATTGGCACTGCTCACGCCCACCCAGGGCTTCTCTTGACACATAAGATACGAGGTCTGTTTTCAATGGCAAGGCCCAAGGAAGCTGCTTCAGAAACATCTCTTGTGATCAATGTTAATGAAAGTATTCTCCACATGTGTCCACTCAGTATCTGATTTCTGTATGAGTTGTTAGTCTGAGTGACAACTGTCTTGGCAGAGGGTTATGACTCTGAGTTTAGGAGCAGGGAATCAAGGATGTGTTTGGTCTCACCATGCCCTGAGAAGGATATGCTCAGGTGTTTTTTTTTGATGGGTCTGAAGATGGGATAGGGGTGATATTTGTTTCTGGATTTTACCTAGTTTTACTTGTCCAATCAATGTATTATGGGACTTGTCTCTATACTTAAAGCCCGACAACTCGAAATTATACAGGCTGAAGAGAATGATAGCTGCTGTGCGTGTCAAGACAGTGGTGATGCTGGAGATTAGTGACTGTAAACCGTTCTAGTTTCAGTAGTTTGTCTGAGGCTTGACAGCTGGCTTCTTTTTGGTCTCTGTAAAAAGTGTCTTGTGAACAATTCAAAGTGTGGGTCTCTGCATATATATCTTTTTAGAGAGAGACTCTTCTTTTCATAGTGCATGTACCAAGAGATGATAGTTTTATGTTTTGTGCCAGAGGTGCACTTGGGTAAAAACAATTACACTGACTGCTTTACTGAGTAGGGAAGGGAAGTTTTTATAGTTGTGGTGTAGAGATTGCAGCTTTAGCTTGATTTGATTTCTGTTCAGGAAGTTATTCAAGGTTGTTTACTGGTGTTTTGAGTTCCTCTTTTGATCAACATAATCTTTTCTTTAATTAATGTTTATGTTTCTTCCATAGGGATAATTTGTTCTTTTGGCGAATTGTTTAATGACTGACCTTTTATTCTGGCGCAGTGATTTGAAACGCTCTTAACTGGATGTTAAACGGGAAACATTTGGAACTGCATCCTCTCTGCTCAGAGATTTAGTCTTGGCTGATGTTTGATGACATTTCTACCCTGAGGAAAGACAGTATAGCTCAGAGTTTTAGTGCCACTCTCTTTGTGGCCCATTGGACAGGTTTTAATGCAATGGTAGATAATTTATTTTCTGTCTTTGTTGTCTCTAACAGAGCTGTAGGTAATAGTTTGAACTGGTACTTTATAGCTTGTGTTTTCTTTCAAACCTTTCCTCCCATGACTTTCTAAGACTCACCTTATATAAAACATGTAATTGTGGTACTGTTGGGATTTCTCCTAAAGACATGGGTTTGCTTTGAGGAATGGCTTTTCCCCAGTGCTGGGAAGTAGGAAAGAGTATATTAATTTTCTGTAAGCAACACATGGACTGGACAGCCCTGGGTCTTTGCCACTGGGTGGAGAAGATCTGGGATCCACAGATCTAAAAAAAAAAAAACCCTTTTGATGTGACCTTAGACACTACCAAGAATACAAAACAGCTAAAAACAATCTTATAGGAGATGTGGGATGACAAAGTTTGGGGTAAGTGGTCTGGCCTTGGCTCCTGAGCCCCCCAGATTTCTGCACGAGCTCCCTTCTGCCTTGCTCTGGGCTAAAGTGTGGGACACAGAAGGCAAATGGCAGTGTCAAGGGCCTTGGGAGATCAGCTCTTCTTGGACATATATTTTGTAGAACATGTGTTCACTGCTGACTTGTCAAATCTCATCAAGATCCTCACAGTACCTCAGCTTTGGACCTGTAAAGATTGGACAGAAATTGATTCTCTCCTCATTGACCCTTGACTCAAGCAGCTGTGTTCCTGGGATGGCACCCAGCACTAGTGGTTTGCCACTTGAGTTTCACAAGATCTGTTAGTCTCTTTTTTCAGGCCATATGAAAGAGACTTGGAGAAAAGTTTTGCCACTTAGTTATGACCAGGCCTTTATCCTGAGGCTTAAGGAGAGATAAAGGAACCTCTGGGGGATGAAGCAGTGGAGGGTTTTGTCCCTTCTCTGGTTGTCATCTTTAGGCGAAAAATTTGGCAAATAGACTGCAAACTGTCTGTGGTTTGGCTATGAAACCTCATCATTCCTCCTTTGTTCTCAGCTGGGTTTTCTCTCTGGAGCATGAAGCTTTTGCCTACAACACAGCCTGGTTCTTCCCCCAGGCTGATTTCTGTTGATGGGGGATGTGTTTTGATTATAGAGATTGAGGGTTCTTGGTCTGAATTCCAGGTGCTTTTGGAGAAAAGACTGCATTTGTCTCGTGTGTTCAGTAATTGTAAAACGGCTAGAAAATAAGACAGCACTTGGCTCTCGCTGAGTTATTACAGTCTCTTTTTAACTGAGTCTTGGTTAGGAATATTGTGAAATTGCCTTTCTGGTCTTTTCATATTGCTCATTTTAGGCTGCATCTGAGTAAGCGAAGGTATCAGAAGAGGGTATCTGAAGAAGTCACTATCAGCTGCAAAGGAGAAAGCTTTCACTCTAAAATAGGCAAAGAATGAGTTAGAAATTACTCAGATAATTTGTAAGTTTTCAAATGGACTAGGGCTGATAAACCTCAGCCTGAGCCCCTGAAGACTTGGTGGAGGTAATCTCAGAGTGATGCAACCTCTGCAAACCCACAGAGGGCAAACAAGGTGGTCTGAAGATGAGAAAATGGAGAATGTAATGAATAACTTTGAAAGGTATAGAATAGAGATGGGAAATTATCAACTGATCAAAGGAAATTTTCTCTGAAAAAAATCTTGATGGAAAAAGTTGAACAAACTATATCTGGAAGACAAGGATGACGAGTGTCAGCTAGGATAGCTTGGTCAAATATAAATAATGTTAAGCCAGTTTGCTTTCCTTCCACAATAAGGATA